AGCCCATGGTCCCCACTGCCATAAACTCTCTATCTGATCTCCCTAAGAGTATAGAAGAGGAGACTAGAACTAAATAGCCAAAAGGTTAATTCTGTTAATAGGTGAACAGTGAATTTCCAGTATTATAGACCTCATAGAAGTGAGTATTCACATTTCCAGTTAATACATGTTGGTGGTTTTACTTTGAAATCTATCAGTCTGTATGAATCAAGTTATCGGTATGAGGGAATTTGTTCTGTGACCTAATTAAAAGGACCTATTTATCTGATATATGCAGAAGTTTGCAAGGATTTCGTCATCAGCTCGCTGACTGCCTTTTCATTTTTCCTTTAGTGGCTATTCCACAGTAAAGGTTTTGCAGAGTGCTCAGTCTGAATGTAATTAAAATGATGGTATATTTCATGTACCCTTTTTAGCATCAGAGCAAAAACATAAGACTGCACAGCTGAATTCCTTTTTACATCAAGAGCCTTACTTACAAGTGTGCTGAAAAACTGGTGGAAACTAGAATTTCCCAATGTGAACAGATGGAGGCTTGCCTCTTTGGGAAAGCAACTCCTAACAGTTTAAATTTCAGATTAATGTCCTCCTGGGCCGCAAATAACCACTGGAGAGCTCCACGTGCGCATAAAGGAACACACACCTTAGAGGCATTTACAAGTGGAAATCACTACAGACTGACCGCATGGGTTATAGTTTTCCAGGGCAGGAGGCCAGGCTGTATGACTTCATTCCTCACTATTTTTCCCCTTCCCCTTCCCCCCTTTTTTTTTTTTTTTTTCTGAAACCAAGCCAGAAGTGATTCAGTTTCACGCACAGAATTCATCAAGAGAATGGTTTCTCTCAGCTCACTGCTCTCCCTTCTTCTCCTCTGCAAGCTTCTCCACTGACAGGCTTAAATTTTTTTCTTTGTAACAATTAAAAATGCTAACTAGTCCAAAACATGACACCTGAGAGGCTTCAGCAGAAAGTCAGCATCTCCAAAACAATCCTTCCTTTATAATTATGTTTTGATGCTTCTCTTTTAGCCATTATTTTAAACTCTATTTTGAACAATCCCTGGACACGCATGATGCCTTTCTGTATTGTGGCATTTTGTCCGGGATTTTGCTGTTATTTCCTAACCAAAGTAGGAAAAAATACCTTATCAACACTTTCCACTGTTCTTTTCCCTCTGCAGTGTAACTTGCAGACTTTATGGTGAATCATATTCTCTTCTTTTATTGTCATGGAGAGATTTGTTGGTTCATTTCTTTTCCTCAGCCTGAATTCATTATCACTAGAAACTTCCAGTTATGGTGAGAAACATGCACACAAAATTATTATTTGCATTTTGCCAGGTACCTGATTATCTAGCAATATCTTTAGGTGCCTGTTATTCGGGATAAATCTAGCTGAATCACACCCCATTCTTGTGATAGAGACATGAATATTGCACAAAAGCCTCATGTTATTCTTACTGCTTTTTCCTGGCATTCATAGGAAAGATGTTTAGCTCAGTCTTATCAAGCCCATTTCTAATGTTTTTCAACTTTGTATCCACTGACATCTCTCCACCATTTCAGAAATATTCAGACAAACATAATTTTCCTCTATAAAGGCAATATTGAGTGGCCAGTTTCAGGGGTATTAGAAACATGAGATGGGTCTGAAATATCCATGGAAGGCTGTTTTGTTGCCAGTTGACGGGGTTAACACAAAGGGCACAGACACTAAGCTAAAGAAATAGGCTTATTTTACTTTAGTTTAAAGCAGCAGAAAGAATAAGCAAGGCAATGCACCTAGTCATTACTACATAAAGCTAGCTATGGTGATTAAGAAAGATACATCACCAATTGCCCTCCTACTTGACCATCACCCCGGCCCGTGCATCAGCTGGGGAGCCCCGTCACAGCGAAGGGTCGGAGAGCCTGTCCCGGCAATTGGGAAGCCCTACGCAGGGCGTCCGCTCGTAGGTGAGGTCTGCGTCTGTGCTGTGAGAGGGCCCGGCTTTTATACAGTTTAACAAACAAGTCTAAACAAAATGCACAGGAGATAGCTGGAGGATTGACATGCCTCACTCAGGCATGTCCGGATCTGGCCAGGATCCTGGCACGTCTGAGGAGTTTCTGTTTTTCTTTACATTTGGGATTTATAGTTACTTCCTGTTGTTTACTCATAGTTCCCAGGGATTGTTCCCAGGGTTGCATTTCACGCTGATGAGATGCTGGTTGCTGGTCAGGGAATTCACTCAGAAGTCAACTTTGGTTTGAGGCCGATTGTTTGGGCCTCTTTTGTTTCAAAGGCACAGCTTATTTTCCTGTATCTTCCCGTGCCTTTGCTTCTGTAGGAACCCATGTGATTATTTTATAAGAATTTTTATTACTTATTTTAAGCAGGATTTATGCTTACAGAGCTACTGATCCAAACTCCATTTTATTACTGCTTTGTCCCACTAAGAATATCTGAGCAGTTCAGCACTCTTCCGTGGTCACAGTTACTTCTGGCATGAAGTTCTGGAGGAAGTATGCTTGTGGGAAATAGTCAGAAGGTAAATAGAAGTCTGAGATTCTCCCTCATCACCAAGAGGCTTGAAAAAAAACATTGAGAGACTTCAGTTTTCATGATCTTGCATAGTTGTCAGTGAATTGTAGGTCTTTTTTTCCTTTTCAATACTGAACAGACTTCTCATACTTGAGGAGACTTTTATATTGTCCATGAAGGTACGTGGGTCTATTTTTACTGTTGATGGGGTATAAGTAAAACTGACTAAATACCACTAGGACTGGAATTTCTTTTCAAATCTAGCTGCCTTCTCGCAGACTACCTTTTGAATTCCAGTGAGTAAGGTGTCATCTTTACCTTCTCCTATAATTGTGGCTACCATAGGTTATATCCACAGTTGAGCCTGAATACAACTAAGCTCTAGACAAGCATTATTTTGAGATGTACCAAGGGCATTCACAATCAACTGGTTGTCCATTTCATTAACTTGGAAGCCCCTCCGAGCAGAGGGCTGCGGGGCCAGGAGCCCAGGAGGCACTGCATGGGGAGGGGAATCACAGACTGCTGCCTTTGGGAAGGCAGAGCCCAGCAGCTGAGCCAGCCTTTCGTCTTCAGCCCCCCTGGACTGGGGTCCCCTATTGAAACATCGTGCGGAGCGCATTGCCCACCCACGTGGATGGGACATGGTGCCCGGTTCAAAGCCGGATGCTGGAGCTGGCTCCGAGCCCACAGGGGGCAGCAGGGAAAGGTCTTCTGTCCCTGTTCGGGCTGGAATAGAGTTCCTGTTCGTTTTGGTAGCTGAGGGGTGCTGCAGCACACAGAGGTTCCAGCGGCTCTCCAGCTCCCAGTGCCTTCCCCTGTGCGCGGGGGCGGGGGGAGCACAGCTGGAGGGCTGGGCCCGGATTGGCCGATAGTCCATGTCATGTGACACTGTGCTCACTATATAAGGTCAGGAGTGGGCCGAGAGGGGCTGCCACTTCCTGGGAGTGTTGCTGTGGTGTCTCTGTGTTTGGGATCACCACCCAGGAGCAGGCGGGTGTCAGTCGGTGGGTGGTGAGCGGCTGTATTGTACATTACCCATTTATGCTGTCACCGTATTATTCTATTACTGTTATTAAACTGGTTTTATCTCAACCCACGAGTCTCCCTTTGCCCCTCCGATTCCCTCCCCATTCCCAAGTGGGGGAGGGTGGGTGAGCGACTGCGTGGCGTTTAACTGCTGACCAGGCTCAAACCACAACAGCTTCTTTCCCCAGGAGCTGCCGTCAGCTGACGAATGGGCAGGGCAGCACAGGGGGACCCGACACACACATCGTGCTCTGGCTGGGATGCTGCCTGCCTCTCCCAGCACCCCGTGCCTGCCCGTGCACACACAGGCGCACGCAGTCACACACACATGGCCCCCATCTTGTGCCCACAGCCTTGCCCTGAGGATGCACATGCCTGGGGCTGCAGGGCGCACCGCGGAGGTAGCCTCTAATCCTGGTCATTCCTGCATCACGAGCGCTTGGAGGACGCCAAGCTGTGTAGCCTCGGGAAGCCTGGCTGCCTCTGGGGCTTAGAGACACCCAAAATCTCTTCCAGCCTCTGCAGGAGCCAGCACGCCCTTACTCCTTCCTCCTCAACTCTCAATTTTCCTCTGCCGTTTGAAAATATGGCAGCAGCTTCCTGGGCCTGGCAATGGGAGCAGCACACTATGGTTTAATATAGCATAGTCCTTTGCAAAATGTTAAGGAGAGCCTCCCTCCCCCATCAGTGCTGCCTTTCCCGTCACTACTTGTCGCAGAGTCAAAATGGACGTGGCAGGTTCTCGAAATGAGATTTATTCTCATCGAAACTGTTCACCACTCTGACAAGCATTAGTAAACTACAGGTTGGGATGTCTGTCAAATGGAACTACTACTACACAGCCCACTTAAGCTTCTCACCTGTGCATCTCACTCAGCCAACAAGGGGACGGCACTCAAACTTGAGGAGTTACCTGGGGGGCCGTCCCAGTCCCAAGCGAGACTCCCTGACTGCAGAGCCGCTGTTTCAAGGGGCGATGGCTCCATTTCCCCTCTGGCAGGGATCCATTTTATAGCCTGGTCAAATCTGATCTGTGACCATTCATGGTCAGCAGTCTAGAAATGGCTCCCAACCGAGGCATGCCGTTGGCTGAGGGCCCTGTCGGTCCACCGAAGGGCCTGGCCTTTCCCATAAGTGACCACGGTCACTACTCAAACCCCCAAACCCTGGCTCCAAGTTTTAACTCTTTCAGAGGTCAGGAGGTATCGGTCTGTATCAGAGTGGGTGCACCTGCCCCCCTACTGCAGTGCAGGCCACTGCTAACAGGAAGACTCAGCCTTTTGTAGCAAGGGGTTTTCACCAGACGCCCCAGGACGGCAGTGGTGCAGGGACAAAAAACACATCAGGGAGGCCATGGCATGAGCCCCACTCCCAGCTCGCAGCAGCCCCCACGCCATGAGCCCTGGCAGAGACACCGCTCTCCTGGTCGCATGGCCTGTGGTGACCGGCTGGCAGGACCAGTCCTCTGGCCATTTGCCCAGAGACCCCTCCGAGCAGGGGGCTGCGGGGCCCCTCCCGTGCCCGTGGCCGCAGAGAAAGGCAAGGCAGGCAGCAGCACGGCCACGCTGGCTGGGCCCAGGCACCAGCAGCCTTTATTTGGCACGTTCCCCTTGGAAAGGCGCTCCTCGCCCCTGCCACCCGTTGCTGGCAGCTCTCCGGCTGGAAAGGGTGGACGCCGTGACAGCTCCTCGGGGCTGCTCGCAGCTCCTTGGCATGGCGGGCAGTCCCTGGGCCCTCCCGCGGCGCTCCAGCAGCCTCGTCTTCTCCCCCTTGCTAAAGGACACAGCAGAAAAGGGCCTCAGCTCTGTGGCCGGGGAGAAGGGCCCCCAGCGCCCCAGCGCCCCAGCGCCGGGCTCAGGCCCGTAGCTCTCAGAGGAGCGGCCGAGCCCAGCCCGCTGCTCCGGGTGGCGTCTCGTGGGCCCTCGTGCCCCAACCAGTCTGCAGCGAGAAGAGCGCAGAGCAGCCGGGGGTGAAGCCGGGCAGGGCCGAGACCCGGGACAGGGCGGGCGCGGCAGCTGAGGGCTGGCTGCCTGCGAGTCACTGCGCGGCGAGGGCAAGCACGGGCTGCCGCCGTTGGGAAGGCAGAGCCCAGCCAGCCGAGCCAGCCTTTCGTGGCCAGCCCGGCCACCTCCAGCGCTGGGAGCTGCCCAAGGCTTTCCTCGGCCTCTGCAGGACCTGCGCACACTTACACTTCCCACGCTGTCTGCGGGGGGTGCAGCTCTGCCCGCCCCTCGGACGCCATCTGCCTCGCAGGCCTCTGGCAGCTCTCCTTCTCCTGTAGCCTCTCCTTCAGCTTCTCGGCGTAGGCCTTTCTCAGGAGGTGGGGAGGGCGATAGGGATCCTCGAACAGGTGGCGGCAGGAGGTCTGCGAAGGCAGAAGAGGCTCTCCTAAAGCACTGCCGCCAACAGCTGGGGCCGCTCCCAAGGCTGCACGCTTCGGCCTGGGGCCGTCGCGACGGCTCCTGCTGCAGGGCAGCGGGCAGGGCAGCGGGCAGACAGAAGGCCCCTGCCTGGCGCACTGCCGGGAGACCTTCCCTGCTCCCCCCGCAGGGAGCAGGGCGGGGAAATGCCCTTTGGCTGGCGGCTGCCAAGTGCATGCCATACCTGGCCTCGCTCCATGTGCTGCCCCGCTCTCTTGGCATGGTATTGGTGCCACACTTCCGCTTCCACCTCTTTGCGCCTGGATGCCATCAGCACCTGGTGCCGTTTCCCTGCCCTCTCCGCGCGGAGGGAGCCCGTTCCCTGGAGGACACGCGCACAGCACACACGCAGCGTTAGTCTCCCCTGGCTCGGGCAGGGCCGGGGGCTGGGACGGTGGGCAGCTCTTGCCACCTCTTCGGCCCCGGCCCAGGGCCCGAAATGTGCCAGAGGACTGGCAGATCCCTGGGGCGTACCATTCCTGAGGGCTGCGCGGCACATGCAGGGAGCTGCAAGTCTGGGCAGCCTGGAGGTCTGGCCTGCGTCAGGTCCTCCTTGGAATTCTGCTGGATTACTGGCAGGAATCTGCAGAGGCACGGCAGCTGAGCCTGTGGGAGCCCCGCCTGAGGTGCTTGCTCTGGCATGGGCTCACAGCCTGCCCCCGGTGCCGGCAGCTCCCGGCACTTCAGCAGGAGGAGCAAGTGTCGAGCAGGACAAGGTCTCCGGGGCCTTTTCTCCCCAGCACAGGCACCCCCGGCCACGGGAAACATCTCACTCTCACTACAACAAGGGCACAGTGTGCCCCCATGCCCCCAGCCCCACCGCTTCTCCAGGAGGCTCACCTGCCTGGGCCAGCTTCCTTGGCTGTAGCCTGTTCGCCTTCCTTCACCTGCTGTCTGGCTAGAGAAACCCTCCGCTGAGCCAGGAACACTGGATCCAGCACACTCACTGCGAGCAGGAGGCAAGAGAAGAGCACAAGAGCATCTTTGATAGTTGGGCAGAAGCAACGACCCCAGCGCAGAAGAGATTTCCTCCTCAGAGCCAAACGCGTGGCTTGCCAGAGCTACGCGGGCTCGGCCCGGTCACAGCTCCAGGCAGAGTTGCTGGAAGGCAGCGCCCAGGGCAAAATGGGACGCAGAACCCTTGGCTGCCGTTCGCCATGAGGGGCTGTCCAGCTCAGAGCCTCTTCCCAAACGGGTCGCCCGCGCGTACTAGGACGGCTGCGCAGGCTCACAGAGCTGCTTTCTCCTCTCGCACAACTCGCACAGTGACCCTGGCTCTCCTGCCCTCGGGAGGACGTGAGGAGCACCCACAGCCCCCTGCCAGCACTCGGCTGGGACCTTACCTCTGCGGGCACCCCCGCCCCAGGGCGCCAGATCTCTCGTGGGCTTCAGAGAAATCGTGGGGACCGATGTTTGGTGGGGGATCTCAAATGCAAGCCTGGAAACAAGAAGGCAGCAGCTGGGCAAAAGGCCACCCCGCTCCCTTGCGGGCTGAGACTAAAAACTGCTGGCAGGCATCTGTGGGAGCCACTGCCGAGTCCTTGGAGGCCACAGGTCTCTGTGGGGCCCGAGGGGTCCCACGTCCTCCTTCAGCCTCTGCCGCTGCTTCCCTCGCCTTCCTGCCCGAAAGCTGATGATCCCAGCACACGCCCTCCTTGCTGCCCCACAGACCCTCCCGCCTCTCTCGCTCTCTCAGCGCAGATCGAGAGCGGACTGATCGCTGCGTTGGCACTCTCCAAGCTGGGGAGCAGCCAGCAGCCACGGACCGGGAAGCTCTTCTCCTGGGAAGGAGCTGGTCTTGCCGAGTTTGGCAGGAGAGGAGCCTCAGCAAGAGGGTGCCCCCGCCTCGGGGGCTCAGCAGCTGCTCCCTTGACCAGCCAGGGGCTGCAGAAGCCATCCTGCTCACCTTGGCAGCGTGATGACCGTGTCTCGACTGCGACGACTAAAATCGTTTTTGCCCGCGAAGGCCACGATCCTCATCATCTTAGGGTCCTGCAAGGGGACAGGGACACGTCAGCAGACGCCCATGCCGGTTGCTCACAAACCGTCTCGCTGCTCAAAGACACAAAGCTGCCTCTCCGAAAGCCTCGCACCACCCTCTCCCTTGATGCCATCAGCCCCCTCCCTTGAAGGGGCCGAGGTGCTCCTGAGACACGGCCTAGCTCACGGGGAGCGTGTCTAGGCCAGGCGGCGAGGCAGGCGACAGCAGCCAAGAGAAAGCAGCTGGAGAGAGCTTTGACAGCATTGCCACAGAGGCACGAGGAGCAGCCCCAGAGAAATGACAAGCTCACCCCGAGAAGAGCTGCCAGCATGTTCCCTGTCCCATCCAGCTCCAGCAGGCACTCGTCCAAGAAGGTCATGCTGACCACTTTTTTTCGCACAGCAAGGATGCCGATGCCCTTGAAGGAGAGTTCCACCTCCTTGTTTTCTTGGAGGGCCTCGGCAAAGAGAAGCAGGGTCTCGTGTACGCACTGCTCCACGATTTCCGGGCGGAAGTGGGTTTCTGCAGCAATCTGCTTAAAGTCCAGCTGAACAAACTGGGTCTTGTCTAGGAAACAAGCGCAGAGCAACCAAGTCACTCCCAGCACAGTTCAGCCCACCCTGAGACGAGGTGCCATCAGCGCCCAGCCCTCGGGCAGCGCCCTGCCAGAGCGCGCTCCCCTTTCAGCTTCGGCCACGTCTCCAGAGCGGCCCTGATGGACAGGAGAAGGCACAGAGAGGCTTTGCCTCCTGCTGCGAGCAACCAGCTGGAGCGTAGGGTGAGCTGGGGAGATGAGGCTGGCTGCCCGGGGAGGGGCAGGGTGCCGGGCTGCCGTACGCGTGCCCATGCTCAGCACTCTCCACGCTGGAAGAGCCTTTGCTCAGCTGTGTCACGGCACCACGTCAGCACCCAGCCAAACGCAAGAGCTGGACAGGGGCCACGCCCGTCTTCTTACCAGGAATTTGGGTCTTTGCGTGCTTGAGGCTGTAGAATTTCTTCAGAAACCTGCTCAGCTGGAACACGGGTCTCTCAACAGGCAAAACCTCGTCCTCTCCCACCGTGGCATGCACCGGGGCAATTGCAAATGTCCCAATTCCGATCTCCACCGCCTGAAAACGCAAGCAAGAAGAGGGAGCATTGTCAGGGCTGCGCAGAGGCGGGAAGGCTGCCAGATGACTCGAGTGTCGCCTTTGGGGTGGTGCTTTGTGCCCTGCTCGGGAGGCCCAGCGGGGCAGGACGGGGCACGGGCAGGAGGCAAGGCTCACCTTCTTCTGCAAGAGCTGTCTCCGGATGTACCTAGATGTGCCAGCCCAGACTTGCTGGATTTCTGGAAAGCAAAGGAAAGGCACGCCGTGCTCTGAGTCAGCAACGGCCACCCATCCAGCAGCCCCTACCCACGGAGGCGACAGTGGCGTGCACTCAAGCCCCCTTGCCCAGAGCAAACCCTTGCGCTGCCGGGGCTGCCCAGCTGCGCTCTTGACTGCCCCCAGCCTCCAAGAAGCCTGCCCTGTGCCCGTGATGGGCCTGGGGAGGACAGGCAGGCATCGGTAGTGTTTTGGGGAAGGGGATCCCGCCCTTTCATGTGAGCAGAGGTAGCTAGAAGCGTGAGCTACCAAAGCCACCCTCAAGGCCCAAGTCTCCATCGGGCAGGGCTCTCCCTGCAGCTGCCGGTCCCCTCCAGAAGAGCCCTGCTACAGCCCCATCCCCAGGCTCAGCGTTTCCAGAGCTCACGTCCCCTTCGCCTTGGCTCCCACAGCGCTCCTGCAAGGGCCCCCTGGGGCCTTACCTCTGGTGGTGAGCTCCTTGAGGGTTGGGAGATCCTCAGGCCCCAAGGGGTTAAAGAGCAGGTACTTAATCATCCTTTCCCCCTTGCACTGCAGCATCTGGGGAAGCGGTGCGCGTCCTGCTCCAAAACCCCTCTGCTCCTCGTCTCCTTCTCCTCCTCCTCCTTCTCCAATCTCCTCCTCCTCCTCCTCCTGGTCGCCACTGCCCAAGCAGCGTCTCCAAGGCTCTCCCGCGGCCTCCCCTCGCCTCCTCCTGGCAGCAGGGCAGCTCCTGCGGAGCAGAGCGCTGGCGAGAGCAGCCCTGGCGTTGCCCAGGCCTCGCCAGGGAGTGTGGCCGGGGGCACGGTGGGGAGAGGGAGCTGTCGCTGTGATGCGGGTGTCCCACTGTGACACCGCGCCGTGTCACACAGGGCTGCGGGCACCCTCCCCACGCTGCACGGGCAGGGCAGCCCCACTGGGCACCTCAGCCTGCGGCGCTGACACTCCCGCCTGCGCATCTCAACTCAGCCCGCCTCGGCTGCCCTCCGAGATACTCCTGGAAGGAACGCGCATTAATGCCGAAGGGGCTTCGCGCACTCGGAGCGGGGCTGGAGAGGTCCAGCCCAGGCCGCAGGGGGAAGCGACCCGCAGCTTTGCTCCACGAGACAGCACATCTTTAGCAGTTCAGAAGCTTCCCTTTGCAAAATGTATGTACCAAATGATCTCATTTTCTTCATCACTGGAGCAGCATTCCCACCTAAGCTCCTACTTCTTCCTATCACTTCGCCCATTTTGAGCTCCTTAAGAGTATTCGTTGATTTACGGGACATGACCAGAGAGCACTAAAAAAACCCAACATCCTAGGTCCTAGGTTGCAGTTGAAAGTTTCCATCAACACATTATTTCTAATCTGGAGCCTTCCTGAACAACCCAAGAGTAACAGCAAAATGAAGCTTGTGCTAGACTCATGCAAATCTCATTGTCTTTTCATCAGAATTAAGTTTCTTTCCACATTTTCCAGCTTTTGTCTTTCTTTGCCTCTACCATCCATAGCGATCTGAAAACCACTGACGACCCTTTTAAGTCAGGAGCCAGTTCACTAACCCCCGTTACAGAGTTCCTTTTTCTTTTTTTTTAGTTGTATTAACTCAAGAATATGCTCAGTAGTTTATTACTTCTAACCCTGCATTCTAGTGAAAGTTAAGATTCCAAGCTGATGCCATTATTGAAAATAATCATATTGTACTTCCTTGTTTAATGGTACCGAAATCCTGCTCCAAGATGAACATGGTATATATTTGGCTACTGAAAGGTCATGTTTTTGTGTACAGTTGTGTGCGTATATTAAGTGTGGTTTGTTTTGTCTTGTTTTTTTTTTTTTTTTTCCCCCGGTTACCCTAAAAAAAGGGAATTGTGCTACCCTTGAGTTAGGTATATCAAGAGCAGAAGGAATTTTCTGCCTAAAAGATACTACAGTGAAAAAAAAAAACCAACATAGGGGCAATTAAAAAAATAAATTAAAAATCTATATTAAAAAATAAAGACTAGTTTTTGTTTTAAAAACTTAAGAGGGTTTTGGTTTTGTTTTACTTTGGTTTGGGGTGTGTTGCTTTTTTCACTTTTCAAAACTATAATTCACATGATTGAATTCTCTCCTTGATTTCAGTTAAACCCTTGAAAGTGCTGAGCTGTTACGTGGTTGTTTTGGTTAAAATTGCTACCTTACACTTCCAACAGTCACTGATTTTTCTCCCATACAGCAGATTAAAAGTGTTTTACAATTCTTTGTGGTGAAAATAGCAATATAAAGAAATTTCTTAATTCCCTTGTTTCTGTTCAGTGAAAGAAACCCATTTTAATTACAGTGTGATTAATTCCAATACCCCATGTGTGAAATGAAAAGGAAGATCAATGCCTCACAGTCAGATTTTATTGCTTGAATATTATACCGACAACACTCTAAAGAAGCACACTTTTGAAAGATTTTTTTAAGATTCGTACTAAAAGCAACAGCAGGAAAAGCAAAACAACAAAACCCCCCTACTTACAAGAGAACAAAGGGGTTTAAGTTAATCCTGTTTTCTATATTGGTTGTTCTATAGACAGGCTCTGTCACATGTGACAGTGATTGGAGATGACAAACACCTTAACGCTGAACTTCCTCCTTCTTCCCACAGCCTTTATTGCTGAGCACAACACCATATGGTCTGGGGTATCCACCTGGTCAGTTGGGGTCAGGTCTCTTGGCTCTGTCCTCTTGGCTCTGTCCTCTCCCACATTGCCGAGCACCCCCAGCCTCCTCGCTGGCTGGGTGGTGTGAGATGCAGAGAAGGCCTGGGCACTGTGCAAGCACCGCTCAGCAACAGCTAAAACATCCCTGTGGTATCCACACCGTTTTGGCCACACAGCCAAAGCATAGCACCATGCGAGCTACTGAGAAGAAAATTAACTCAGCCAAACCAGTGCACTCTGTTAGCACTGTTCCTTCTTGAATAAAAAGGATCAGGTGAAGTGTTGTGTCTCTTTTCCGTATGTGTATCTTAACTTTATAACCTCCAAGACTGGTTAATCTAATGTGTTAATTTGCTCTCAGGGCATATGCGAAGGAGGTTTACAGTGGCTCAATTGCTAGATGAGGGCAGGTAAAATTCATACTTAGTCATGATCATACCAGGAGGATCAGGTGAATTTGCTAGTTATTTGAAATTAAACTTCTGTGAAGATTATATTTTACTTTTATTTCGTGCTCCAGTCATCCTCTTTACCAATGCATTTGCCTGGTGAAATGTTTACAGAAAAATGCAATTATGTACATGTTTTTCTACCATCAACAATGTCTGGTTATAAACATCACAGTCTGCAGGAACATTAAGAAGAATTAGAAGTGTTCCCTTTGAAGTAAATGGCTTTACGGTAGTTTGCCTGATTCAAACAGCTTGGCTAAACCTGATCAAAATCTCATTATAACTACTCATTATTTTAGTTAACAAAGATGCAGCCAACAGCTTTATTAAGGATACTAAAAACTCTTTTAGGATTTCTGTTTGCCTTTTACTGCCACTGTTTGATATGCTAAAAACATTATACTTCAGAGCTGACATTCAGACTTTTCATAGAGCGTACAAGCATCTGAGAGCAATTTAATAAATAATAACTGACAAATGTGACAACAATAAACTTCATATATGAACAATGAGTAAACTAAAATACTATTTTAGAAATATGATGGAACTGAAAAACTGATTTTCTTAATTTGATGCTTGTGTATACATGATGAAATAAGCCTCAGTAAATAGTGAGACAAGACTATATCTGAGAATATCTGTCAGCTGATAGAGTACACTACAAACTCATAACTATTTTATACTTAAAATTTACATGCATTTTCTGAGGAAACTGAAAGTTTCTTTAGAATTTAGCAACAAAATCAGGGCAAGTGTCGTGGTTTAGGCCTGATTGACAGCCAACCACAATGCAGCACCTCTCTCTCCCTTCCCCTCCGGCAATGAGAAGGGACAGAGAGCCAGGCTTGGGGTTCAAGATAGGACTGGGATGGGGGAAAATCCCCCTTTCATGATCACGAGCAAAAGGCAGACTCGTTAGGGGAAGAAAAAAAAGAACATACATTTATTATAGACACTAACAACACATAACAGAGTAGGACAGTGAGAAACATTGCCACATCTTGAGAACACCTTCCCCCCACCCCTCCCTTCTTCCCGGGCTCAGCTCTGCTCCCGATATCTCTACCTCCTCCCCCAGTGGCGCAGGGGCAGGGAATGGGGGGGTGCAGTCAGTGCTGCCACTTCCTTCATCTTTGGTGAGTTGAGTGTCCTAAACTTGTTCCCCCTGCTCCATCGTGGTCCCCCTCTCACAGGAGACAGTCCTCCACAAACTTTCTCTGACTTGAATTCCTCCCATGGGCCGCAGCGTTCCCCACACTGCTCCATCATGGGTCACTAACTTCCTCCGACTGGATTCTCTCCCACGGCTGCAGCCCTTCCCGAGCTGCTCCGGCGTGGGACTCCCCCGCATGCTGCAATCCTCCCAGCACTGAATTACAGCAGCGGGGCTACCTTTTTCCATGAGACCCCGGCCTTCTTCGGGCACAGAACCTTGATCAGCCAAGCAGGAACAACAGGCTGTAAATCAATGTCTGCTCCACCGTAGATCTTCATGGGTGGCGGGGGGGGGGGGGCCGCCCTGCCGTCTCACCACAGGATACAGGGGGGTCTCTGCTCCGGCACTCCTCCCCCCTCCTTTCTTCCTCCGTTCCTCCACTGACCTTGGTGTTCATGCAGCTGCAGCAACTCCTCCTCACAAGTCCGACTGCCCGTCACCACGTC